ATTATTATTATTATTATTAATAGTAGTACTAGTAGAAGTACTATTAGTAGTAGTGTGTGGTGGCACCCACACCTCCATAGGCATCAGTGAATTGTGCCCGAGTACATAAGAACGTTGAACAGCACTGATCTAAGGTATGTTTCTAATGTAGCCATACATGATGAGTTAAAAAATCTTCTTGGTAGTTCACTTCAAACACTAATGCCCACCATTTGACATGAGTGCGAGTAACTTCCATCCATATTCTGTCCTCAAAACCTATTTTCTTGGATCAATTTTAAAGTTATCCTCCCATTTCCTCCTTGGTCTTTTAAGCGGTCATTATCTAAGAGGTTTCCCAACCATAATACTGCAGACATTCCTTGTCTCTGTCATCCTATGTACATCCCCAAGCCATCACAGCCAGCAGTGTTTCACAATGCTAACAGCAAATGAGGAGTAATTTTTCACAATTCAGTTTTCCTCCTGTGATGATAATATTGTGGTGGGCCATTTTCCCATTAATCTGGACTAGGTTGTGTCCTTTCCCTGTTCTGTGAATATGAGTGACCACTTTCCTTGCAAACCAACTATATAGAACACAGCAGATTCCTCACTCTACACACTTAAACCTTGAAGATGGAGCAAGTATGTTCCTTCAAAATGCGGTAACTGCCTACAAGATCAGACAGTATCACAATCCAGACTACCAGAATCTGATCACTGCCATGATAACATCAAAACATACCCTAAAACTAACAAAATACTAGATAACCTTTACAAATCAAGACACTCCTCATTGTGAAATGTCCAAAACTGTCCACGTAATATGTTCTTTGGAATTTATGAAACTAAGAGCTAATCTTAAGTTCTGCAGCCTGTATGCAGACATACCAATGCCAAGAAACGTTAGTCGCTGGCTTCCCACTGTGGCGGCCCGGATTCGATCCCGGGTCTGGTCAAGTGGGATTTGTGGTGGACAAAGTGGCGCTGGGGCAGGTTTTCTCCGAGTACTTCAGTTTCCCATGCCGATCTTCAATCCACGAATTGCCCCACAGTCACCCTCACCTAACATCTGGGGCTGGTACAATAGGCCAGAAGTGGCCACAGTACAAGGGACTTAGTCCCACCCCACTAGCAATAAAAAGAACCTGCACTAGAGTGTTTCTACTGTACAAACCTTTCCATCAGACTTTCCTATTACAGAATTCAAAACAAAGTCTGGAGGAGCCAGAGAGTCAGCAACGGCCACAGCTTCTGGCTTCAGCTGGGAACACATCTGCAGAATCCCCTCTTTTACCAGATCAGCAAGGCTGGAGTCCGTTGCATAGCCGCCTGTGTCAAACATTGCAAAACACTTACCTATATGATGTGGTGTGGTTAATTTAGTCACCCTTTCAGTGGGATTTAAAATGAAATTTGTTCCCTAACACATACAGTTATTGTACCCAGAAAATAGTCACAAAAGATTTCATTTTTTGAAAATGTAGAAACTGTACACAAAGGCTGTCACACAGCCTGGAACAAAATCAGGATATAACATACACTGTACAACACTCATCATGAAAACTTCCTGGGATATACTGAGCACAAACAGAGAATAAATCACAAAATTCTGGTAACGCCACTGAAAAAGTTAATGGGTTTCATCTGCACTCATTACAAGCTATACATAGACTGTCAATAAATGAAACAAATTAAATTCAGAATTAGTAAGTATACTTAAATGCAACCTACTCTAATTTCTGGTGGTGCCATTCCTCCACTTTGAATATGCTGACATGACTTTGTTTCTCGAATCATGGACAGGAACTTTTCCTACCACAAATTTAATCACTTACTGCCAGTTTCTTGATTTAACAGTGCACTTGGCTCCGCAACAATTTTTGTTCATATGTGGGTGATAAAAACTCTTCTCTATTGTTTGCGTAACATGCACATTGGGTTCTCCACAATTTCTGTTCAGCAATAGCATTCTTTTGAATATGTGAGGTTGGCAATACTGACGAACTATTTGCATTAACTTCCCTTTTTATATAGTACATACATGTTTACAACTCAGTGTGTACACAAACAAAATAACCAGTTAATCAAGAAACCAATGATTTCTCAGTCTGGTATTATAAGCTTACTCTAATGTATGATAAACATAAAAGCCTTACCTTGATAGAATAATGTCAGATGTTTTTCCAAACACCATAACCCATAGAGGACGTGTAACTTCACCAGAACACTTTGAATGGTACTGTCTAAGCTTTGACTGACACATCTTCTCCAGAAGTACACAAGTGCATTATTCTGCAACATGTTTCTGTTAAATATATTTCCAGTAATCATCTTTGAGTAGGTTTCTATTGAACCTCCCTTAGATATATATATGCTAGTGTATCGCAAAAAACACAAATCATAATTCCTTACCTCAGCATATGCAAGAGATAGAGTCCTAGCTCGAAAAACCTGAGCATTATTTCTTGCTGTGAATTTATCTTCTCCTCTTTCCTGAGAAATACAAAGTCTCCTGTGTGTCTCCTGAAGCAGCCAGCAAATTAACCATTGATAGGAATTCAGAATAACTGGAAAACGAAGTAAATAGTAAATAAATTAAATTTATGCACTGACAGACTAACACCATGGTACAGTAATTTCTTTCCCAAAGTCAAGAAACTCTGTTTATATGCAACATAAGCATCATTAACACAATAAGGGGGGGAAAAAAAGGCCAACATCAGGTCTTCCTCTTAGAAAGATCATTCCAGCTCTCATCTTCATAACCAATTTCTCTAAGACATATTTTAACATTATTCCTATAGTCTCCTTCCTCCAGGAATGCTACATGTCTCACACATCTCATTTGTCTTGACTTAATCATCCTAGCAATGTTAACAGAACAGTAAAAATTATGATGCCCCTCATTATGTAATTTTCTGCACACTACTGTTATTGTTACTTCATCTCTCCGAAGTCCACACACTCTCCTTTGCATTCTTGTCATACAACCTAAAACTGTCTTCCTCTCCTTGAGTGCGAAAGTAAGTAAAGGGTAAAACTACAGCATTTATATTATAATCTTTGGGTCTTTAGACAGGAGACGAGGTGGTAAAAGTCTTTACTGAATACAGCAGACCATCGCTAATCCAGAGTAACTGGGGGTATAGGTCATCTGGTTTAAGCAATAATCCAGATTAGTGAAGCGCTAGATTCTGAAATAAATATAAACTTAGAACATAAATAAATGGAAAATTAAATGATATAAGTAATGTTGATGAAAATAAACAACAAAATTACCATAGAACCTTTATTTAAAAACTATAAGAAGACAAGACATTTATTCATTGATGGAAGACTCTGAAGTTGCACTTATTTCTGAAAGAAATAATGCAGGTTTGAAGAAACTGTCAAGTTTAGCCTAAACAGACAAGTGACTCAGCTGTCTTCCTAACTGCCATGTGTCTTTTAAAGTATGTACTCAACTCTGAACAGGATTTTTTATTTTTCATATGTGAATCCAGATTATATGACATCCGGACTAGTGAGGGTTTACCACAGTAGCAAGTATTTCCAGATTTTAATCTACATTTGATTTTAATTTGTTGCAGACAATCCCAGTACTTAAATTTGTAACATTTTCAAAGGCCTTCTCAGCTCTTCTTATACTGATTCAGTCTTATACTCTGGTGACAAGACATGAACACCTTAGTTCTTTCAATTTCTTCACCAACTGCCTTTCTAGCCCCTCAGTTCCTGTAACCTTCTTTATGGAATTATGTTCTTGCCTAAAAATTAAAATCAACAGCACAGACCAAGGTTTCCTGTTGTGCCCATTCTGTTCTACTTCCTCTTGAGTCTTTAGGGCTATCTGTGATGGTATACTTTAAAATGAAAATGAAAAACAACGGCAATAAAGCATTCCTCTCTTTGAGCACATTCTGAATTCAGACAAATGTGAACCTAGATACATTTTATTGCAGTGTACATTCCTATAAACTTTGACATTTCAAACTTAATTAAAGAACTGCACAATGTTTTTCTGAAGTCTACAAACAGCTGATGGATTGTACCATAGCATTCCAGTTCCACCCCAAAATATCTCGTCAGATACGAATGTACACGTATGACTGATAGTGAATCTGTTACGGAATCATCAATGACAATCCTCTAGAATGTCATCTACCTATGGCAACCTGCACAGCAAAAGATAACAGGCAGGAAAGTGCCAAAGGATGACAAAAATGAAGACAGAGATAGATGCAAGTGAAACAGTTGCAAATAAAAATAACAGAAGGGTATTCTGATAGAACAAGAGTGAATGATTTAAAAAATTCTGAAATAGCAGTATCAAGATGCAGAGACAAAGAACTGGACGATACTGCAGTATTGTAACAACAAGCACCAATCAGACTGCCATGCTGCATGATACACAGTCATGCCATGAAAACAGAACAAGAGAGAAATTCTGAAGCAAGTATGCTCTTCCTACTTACAACTGTGATTTGTAACATCTTGAAGATCCCTGCCTGTGAATTTCTTCTTTAAAATGTCTGCTGCATTTGAAAGGAAATCAACAGTATTGTATGGTGACGCAACTCCTTCGCCCTCCCTGACCTTATTCCATTGTCTCAGTAGCCAGTTACTAGTCTGCTGAATCAACACATTGTTGTCTCCTTCATATGTGACTGAAGCATCAAAATTGTTGCGGAGATCTCCCAGGCCCGACGCTGATCAACAGGAAGCCCGCATAATTAGAACAAATATACAAAATAAAAAAAGTGTATATTTCAAATATAAAAATAATACAAAGGAAACCTTTCAGATATCCATGTCCACCACATGCCTCCCGACATTCCTGTATGGTATCTCGGCAAGTCCACGTAACCAGAGGTTTGGTTGCTGATACCATTGCATGGATCTCCGAAACACTTGCCGGCTGAAATAGAAGGTTTTGTGTAATGAAGGCAGTAAAATTTGGAACTCTGAAATATGTGATAGGGACAGTACCGTAAAATAAACTATGGTCACCAACTTCCAAATCAATATATATTTACTATTCCTGATTTTCTATCAGTCATTTTTTATCTATGGGATGGGGTGTGACAATGTTATGTATTTCACACTGATGTTGTGGGCAAGTGACTGGAGTGGTGAAAGCAAATATTGTGTACATATGTCTTGATATGTAGTTCTCTAGTCATGTAGAATGGAATGGTGAATCATCACACTTTTGCCAAGTAAACTTATTCTGAAAATAAGTCTACTGTGTAGATGAAAAGATGTTTGGTGTGTTTGATGTTCTGAGGCATGGAAGAATTCCTTCATGTAATGCCATTTCAAAGAGAGCTGACGATTTCACTATTCATGGTAGTGTAGTGAATAAACCTTTTCTTGGCCATGTATGTTCTGTTCACACACCACAGAATGAATGACAGGAGTAATGCAACAGAGCCAATGCCCCTGGAAAGGCAGCACACGGTCACCTTACAGATGTTAAGCAAGCCCCTTCAAAAGATTTTGCATGACGACTTGAGGTTTCATCCATGCAAAAGTCATGTAACCCACAAATTGAAAGAAGAGGATAAAATTTCTCCTTTGAAATTCTTTGTGGGGTGGGGGGGGGGAAGAAAATGAAGGGGGTTTGAATGTTTTGATCATGTCAGATAAGGCCCAGTTCCACTTGTCTGGTTACTTAAAAAAACATAATTTCTGGTACCAGAATGATAACAATCCTATGTGGATCCATGAAGAACCTCTCCATACTGACAAGGTACCTGTCTGGTGTGGTGTCTTCACATTTTGTGTGAATGGGCCTTATTTCTTTGATGAAAACAACCATGCTGTTACTGTAGATTCTAAACACTATTGCACTTTGCTGCAATCATTTATGGCTACAGAAATGCAAATATGTGACAAAGGGTGAAAAATGTATGGTTTTAAGAGGATGGTGCAACAGCTAATGCAGCAAGATAAAGCATGACTTTTCTTAGCTGAATGTTTCTAGACTGCTTAATTTCACAATTTGGCAACATTCCCTAAACTTTCTCCTGTGAGGGTTTATGTTTATGCTACTTGCCTCCACTCCACTGAACTGAAAGACCATATTATGAAGGAACTCAATAAATGGTGCTTGAATGCAACGAGTTATGCAGAACTTCATATAGCAATTATGGCAATTTATCAAACACCATGGAAGTCATCTATAACCTGTACAGCATGGATACTAAACTGCAATCATTATGCTAGTTTTTCCATAACATTTTTCACTTTATTATTGTCTGATCTCTCACAATTGCGGAAAATCCTCACATCCTCACACCCCATAATGTACATGACCTCTGCAGTTCTGACAGATCTTCAATCCTTATATTACATGTCAAATAGCAAAGAAGTATTTTGAAAAAGGCTGTTACATTTTCCTACTAAATTTAACATACAGAATCACTCTCACATTTTATTCAAAACTGCAGAGCCTCTACAGCTCACATAACCAAAGAATCAATAAAGCAATCAGCTAATAATCATTTGTTACAAAGATAAATATAGAGTGGATATAAAAAGAACAGGTTTAGAGATTATTTTCATTGCCTATGTGCTGTGTTTGTATAGTTTCATGTCAAAATCTTCTATATGCATACAGTATCTTCAAGGCTTATATCTCTTTAATCCTCTATGTTCATTAAAATATATGGCTAAAATAATCCAGTAAACATATGAATAATTAAGCAAATTCCTAGAAGTGACTCAAAATTTCATCATGTTCTGATGATCAAAAAATAAAATGTAAAATTCCAATAACTTCATGTGGAATTAGGATTAAATTCTTGGCAGAAGTAAAGATTTTCTCTTCTCCTCAGCATCCAGACCAGCTCTGGGGCAGAAGAGCATACTCTTGCATCGAGTGATAATGAGAAGCCGTACCCCACATGGTACCTGCTGGGACAGATCAACACTGACTACTTGAACTTGCTCATGAGATGTGTGGCCTGGGACAAACAGATCTTTTTATACAAATACAGCATGTGAACACAACATCTGTCATGTCAACCTCTGATGGTAGGGACAGAGACAGTCCCTGAAATGTCAGACACCAACTCCACACGCTACTAATAAATTTAATAAAGCTGTAAAATGTAGATCATCAGAAATTTGACATAAAACATACTTGTCAGGAACTGCGAGAATGTCTGAAATCTTACCAAGTTGGAAACTGTTTCCCCAGAATTTGACTTCTCAACACATTCAAGATACTGGTCAGTGAAATCAGCTACATACACTTTCAGGGCACAGGTGGCAGCTATGTAGGGAAATAACCGCCACTGCTGTAAAGTAGAAGGATACATGTAGCACATTTTAACAATCACAGAGTTAATCAGTAAGTTCAAGTGTGAAATATGAAGTTGCCTTTGAATGTAAGTACAAATCCTGAAGATATACAGGTTGTGTAGAAAAAGCTCCACACATTTTATTCTTTATTATCAGTTACATGGGAGGCAAAGTGGGGCAAAGAGGTGTTCTGGATGTGGTATTCAATTGTCCTTTCCAGAAATCATGTCGAAGTTATAGAGACTATAACTAGACACTCTACTAATGGAAAGCTATGATCATTTAGAAAAGTCATGTTTGAATTGCTGTGAAAATGCCAAATTGCCTCAGAATTAATTCATCACAATTCTTCATTCACTAAATTTACCTATGTGCCAAGACAGTATCAAGTCACATACACTGCCACTGGTACTATGTCTGAACACATTTTATTTTAGTGTGTTAAATAATGAACACATATGTTAAAATCTTCCCATTTACAACAAAAAATAGTAAAGTTTGTTCTTGTGTCATTTCCTTTTGGGTATTGTATAGTATACCCACAAAGAACATAAAACATGAAAGAGATACATTTTTAATTACCCTGGTTCACATTTTTAAAATTTCCCTTCTCGAAGCATATAAGCTTTTTTGTTTCATACTCGTGTATTTGCAAAGAAAGATTTGCAAAATGGGCCCATTAGCTTCATCATGTCTACCTGTCCGCTAGTTATAAACTGACAACTGCTCAATGAACATCCATGACATTTGTTACTGGAGAGTTTTTTGAAAATTTGTCAATAAATTCTAATTCTGACTAAAATCAGACACCAACTAATACTGTACATGAAGATCTATGTGCTTTTCTGCATACATCTGAAGCAGATTATATATATACATATAAACATTCTGAACAAAAATTGTATAATAAATAAAAAAAGGACCACACATTTAATATCCAACAACACACTTTTTCAGTAAGTTGTGTAGTTTTCTATAAAATTAAACAAAAAGAAGTGTACACACCAGAACTTTTACACTTTGCATATGGTACATTTCATAATCTGTTGGAGTTTCTCGCAGCACTGAGTATGAGGAGTATGACCTGAGTTGTAACACTATGTATTTCATTAAGAGTTCACTGACATCTGAGAAGAATACACTGTCTTCACCTTCATAGCTGAGCAGTAAACCTAGCAAGAAATAAGCATGACACTTGCTTCTTGCTGGTTTCTTGCTTGGTCTACTCTTTGACCTTGAAGATGGAGGCAATAAATTAATTCAAAACGTTGGTTAACTTCTACTGAATTACATGCCATTACAATCCAGATCTCAAGCTTCATTTCCTAACTTGTACATTTTTGCCTCTACCATATGGTTTAGAAGGAATGAATGAATGTATAAGGGGTGGGCCTTCTTGGCCCTTGTGCCATGACCACAGTGATCTATTGTGCCTCCCCTTCTGATTATCCTCTCAACAATCCTGCACTTCGAATGAAGCATAGGATTTTGTACGTGGGGACGTCAAAATAGTCACTTGGTTCCATAAAATACTGACCCAAGTGACACAATCTTAAATACGCCAAGGCCTCACATTCGCACAGGATATGTGTGGCTGTTTCATTTTCTTCTTGACACCTCTCACAAGTTGGGCTATTACCTAGTCCCAGTTTGAAGAGGTGTCCTTTGAGGTGATAGTGTCCTGTAAGTAGTCCTACCACCCATCGTAGCTGGTTCCTGTTTAACTTCAACAGGTCCTATGCTCTTTTAGTAGAGGGTCCTCGTATGAGTTCCTTTGCTTGTGGTTTAGAAGGAAAGTTTCATATGATCATATTTGCAGGCATCTTTGGCTAATGTTACAAATTCAACAATTTCATAACATTTTTCATGATACACAAGTTCTGTTGACAGTTCCCACTGTGAAGACTGAAGGACAGGAATGCACACCTAATAAACTTACATGCAGTTGATATTCCATTATAGGAAATTCGATGTCATCAGGATTTGGGCCAAACTGCTTCCTAACTGCTGCATAACGAACCGCAATTGCCACGGCACAACAGCAAGCATTTGTACCTTCACCCATGATACCAACCCGGGCTGCAGATAAATTTTCAAGAGCTGCTCCTATGGACAGGTAAAAAGGTAAAGATATTCTTGTAACAGACCATGGAGGTCCATAGGTTTGTGAGAATACGAGGCTCCCACATTTTTTAGAAAATCGGTTCACAGATGGCGATCATATTCACAATTTATTGATAATGCATGTAGCAGTCATGTGAATCTGTGAATGGGAACAGTGTTAGTTTCTAAGATTTGAAGTACTCAAGACGATGATCTAAAGATTTCTATCTCCTGATATGTGACCCCTTGTATATAGGCAGATAGGTACCAGCATTTTGGAGGAACCTACTGTTTCCATCTTCATGGTAGCAGCCAGTCCCGCAGAAATGTTCATACATAGCTACCAAACTTCAGTAACACATCCCACATCACAACAATCTACCATGTTAGTATCATTCAAAGCAACATAAAAAACTATGCAGTGACAGAATTTTTGAACGATAAAGGTAAAACTAACTATCTCTGTAACAGGCCATGGAGACACATAGGGTTGTGAGATGTCGAAGCTCCCACTTTTTCTAGACAATGGGCTCACATATGTCAGTGAGGTTGTCAGCCTTGACTGCTACACCTCAGGGAGCGAGCCCCCATTACTTGCTGGATAGGAGACTGGGTGTGCCCCAAAACAAATATGGATGTGGCAGAAAAAGAGAGAAATCAGTAACAATGTTAAACTTAATTTATTCCAATGTTAGAACAAAATAACAAAGACACAGCCCATCTGAACTACTTGCTGGTACCTCTTCTCCTCTATCAAGATTACAGATTGAATTCTCAGATAACAAGAAGCCAACTCTGATTTGTTTGTATGTATTTAACCAGCTGGGGAAACACAGGATGGAGGTGCACATGGTAGTGTAGTTGGCTGAGGCACTATGCTACAAGCCGGAAGGTTGCAGGTTCAGTTCTGGATGAGGTCACTGGATTTTTCAATTGACCTAATCCTTCCAGCCGTATTATGGGCCTGGTGTCGACTCAGCCTCTAACAGAAATGAGTGCTGGGAATCTCCCTGGGGGTAAAGGGTGGCCAGTGTGTAAGGCTGAAAATCTCACTGACATCTGAGCAAACTGCCTAGAAAATGTGGGAACCTCGAAATTACCTCCACAGCCTGTTACAGGGATGTCTTTATCATTTTTTTTACCTTTTATGTGACGGATATCTTCTATAGTTTATTACATTAAAAAATAAACAGAATAGAACAGAGATACTTCAAAACATTGCAAAACAACAATCTATAAATACATTTTAAAGCAATATTAACATACAATGCCTCTTACAAGAAAAACAAAGCAAGAGAATATCCAAGCAATGGATATGAAAGCTTTATAAGTACTGAAGGGGGGGGGGGGAAGGCCATGTTACAAATGAAATTCTTGAAGAAAGAGGTGGAATTCAGTACTTTTTAACAGTTACATGAGAAATGATTACAATGGCCTGACCATGTAAAAGAATGGATTGCACAAGGATACTGAAAAAGGCAGTAAAATTATAATTTATATGAGAGAGACTTATGGCACAACCCAGAATAAGACAGATCACCCAGATAGTGGAAGACACCAAAAAGGGGTCAAAGAGTCATTAAACAATTAAATAGGACTGTGGGATGAAAGGAGAAGGAAGAGGAGATAATGACAACAATGAAGAAGATTAAGAGGAGAAAGAGGACCTCTCAGTACTCGCAGTGTTACTCAGAGTTATCCTTGTGTTTACTTAAGTATGCACCATACTTGAAGACATATGGGTAAGTGGTACTGCTCCACACTCTTCTAACTTCAGCACTGGTGAGAGGCGAGCTTCATGCTCCAGCTGCTTTACCCCCTGGAGATAGTGGAGAAGCTGGAGATGAGACTAGGTGGGATTTAGTGCTGATCTTCTCATATGCTGAAGAGAAAGATGCCTAATTCTGGCAGAAATCGAAACATGCTTTCCAGCCTATACCTATTTACTGTACTAACTGCAATATCCTGCCTCAATTTAACATATTTAACAGATATTTTTGTCAGTTTCAATCATACTTCTCCATCTGTGCATCAAAACAATAGCCCTCAAGAGTTAAATCTGCATCTCTCTGTTTCTAAGCAAACTCTAACACTACTAACCATATCATGATCACACCTGACTGCCATCCCAATTCGTTAAAAAAAAAAAAGAATTGGTGTGATAGACCCAGAAGGACCCATGAGTTGGGAATTTCATAGTAGAGTCAACATCCCCAGTAATACTATTGCTGCAGATGAACATTCAAAACAGCTTCCCACCACATAACAGATTTTAAGAAAGTTAACATTTAGGGTCTGAGGCAGCATACTGAATAGTCTCATCATGAAGAGGAGGTTATCTGGTACTGCTTTCATTGTTTACAGTTTCATTATCAGACTGCTTACCAAGTTGCTGTTCTGGAGTGGTAAATGCTGTTTCATAGTCTCCATCAAGAGTTACATCACTGAGTCTGTTCAGCAGACTTTCCCTTGGAATTCGGTAGTGCTGGAAAATGATGAACCTGTCATTAAAATGAAGGAGCATGATTATTTTTAAATGCATGAAATTTAACACATACAGAAAATATATGTTGGGACAATTAATTCATTCATTAATTTTTTTCTCAGGATCATCTAATAAATAAAATAAGATGTGTGTTGTAGGTTATGACACCATATAGTCTGGTAGTAAGTTACCAATATTTCAGAGGACTATACGGTCCTAACAAAATTTGTTAGTGATAGAAGAGAAATGATTAGAATGGTTTGGCCATGTAAATAGAATGGACAGAACAAGGATATGAAAGGAGGCATCCGAGTTAACATTTAAACAAAGGGGGCCTATGGGACAATTCACAACAAGATGGTTTGGACATGTACTGGAAGATATCAAGAAGAGAGGAAACAGCTGGCAAGAAACTGAGAAGAAAAGCTGGTGAGACAAAAGTGAAGGTTTTTCATCCATCACCCTGCATAAACTGGAAAGAATATTAGAAGCTTGGTAGGTACCTACCTACCTATTTATCTATCTATCTACCACTTGGTGCTACAGCCCTGGGTGAGCCTTGGCCTCCTCTACAACCAATGCGTGCTACCATAGGAATGGACCCACGCACGATGACCTGAGGCTGGTGTTAGGTTTCTGAACAAAATTCTTTTTACAGGATGAGGTTGTTAGCCTCATGCCCCACCCCCAACCTGGAGGACCAGGGTATCTCTCTTAGCCTGGACTCTACCCTCTGACCTTTCTGGCATGGGTGAACCTACCAGTAGTTAAACTACTGCTGGCATAGCTCTCCAGGTCAGAGAGTCACGCAAGCCCCACCACCACGACAAGGTGGTGACACTTTTGGGGGGAGCTTGGCAGGTAGGTACCTACATTTTGGAGTAACACACTGCTCCCTTTTTCAGGGCAAGAATGGAAAACAGGAGACCACAATATGAATAACAAATTGGTTGTGAATGTGAAGCTGATTCAGACAGATGGGGACCATGATTACAGGTAGACTTCGGTATTGGTGGCGTTCAATTTTGCAATCTATTACAAAAGAATTAGTTAGCTAAGGATTTAAAAATCAATACATTATGGCAATGTAAACTGAAATAATCTTTATACTGAATTTATTGAATATCAGCCATTTAAGGAGGGCATGCAAGGAGGTCTGATGCTTTTGGGTGTTTGATTTAAATTTCATGAAGGAAGACATGCAATGAGGCGAACACATGCACAAAATAAAGTTCCTTTCCTTTTAGAACGAAGATTACTTCATCTGGGATGTGACATGTAGTATGGTTGAAGTTTGCTGACATTTCAGAGGAACATGTTGTCTCTAGGGTAGAACAGGCTATTCAACACAAAGATAGAGGTAGTATTGGGGGGGGAAGAGGGAAAAGGGGGGGGGGAAATTGCTCCTGTGCTTAATTAATTAAGCACTACACCATGAAGATGTATGGGGGAGAGGAAGTAGCATATTCCTCTGTAATTTAACAAATCTTCTATCAGACTACACAGCATCACAAAGCTGAAAACAGTAATCTTTACTGTCACTGCCACGAGACCTTCAAATGTCACAAACCTTTAGAATCTTTCAATCTCTCTCTGTTGGATACCTTATCACTTCTAATTATTGCAATTTATTGAAATCACAGTAAGGTATATACAAACCCGTTGTCGATCCCATTGAGGCCATTCTTTTCGCCCAAGTCTCCCAAAATTATACCTGGGTATGGCAGTAGTGTTTTTGGGTCACGAACAGGTGTTACAAAACCATGCAGCCCATGACAAGTGCCATCAGCAGTGCACAGCTGTGCAAACAGCAAGGCATATGTACAAGTTTTACCTGGGGGGGAAAAAAAGCAATATCATCTGACATGGTAATAGATATTAACCCACAAAACAGCTTCCTATGCACCCCTCTCAATTCTATGGTTTTCCTTTAGCAGTTGATAAGTTACTCAGCAGTTCAAGGAATTCTGTTTTCATAGGATCTGAAAGTTCATCACTGTCTTCACAAATTCGACCCTATATTAAGCTAGTCTGAATCCTGTTCACATGAACCTCATTCCTCTAACATGAATTTCAATATTATCCACCCATCTATGTTTAGGCCTCTGATGTGGACCTTTTCCCTTGAGGTTCTTCAAACCAATATTTCCCATGCATTTCCAAATTCTCTCATGCATGTTACTAGCGGAATCAGTCCAATTCTTCTACATTTATTCACCTACAAAACCTAAAGCTTTTCTCTACACATCTTAATCAGGGATGTGGATGTTAGAAGACACAAATGTTAATGTGGATTTCTGGAACTTGTATACATCTATGAAACCAGAAAAAGTACAGGTAGTCACTTAACTCTATACTGAAGTTACTGATTAAGCATTGCTCTTGCACTAGAAACTTAAGCCTGCCACAGGACAGGGTTCTGATCCAGTTCACTCCGTCTCTCACCCTCATGACCTATTTACACCTGCCTATTACCGTAGCAATGGCAACGCTCCGAAAGTGCCACGTCACCGCTGGCGGGGTCAGGGGGTGTCCTCCATAGCGCAACATGTCACAATATTATTCTCCCTTCTCCATCTCCTCCTTTTAAAACAGGGTTTCCCATCACATTCTATACGCCTTCCTTTTCCATCCCCATCCCATCATAGCCTTAATGATTTCACTATCCTACCAATACCAAGTGACTACACACTATGGGGCTCCTCATTATGTTCCATCATTATTGCCTTCATCTTTACTCAGGCCATGTTCTTCATAGCTTGCTGTATCTTGTAAGCAATTACATTTGATGGAGGAGGAGGAGTTGGAAGGTGTATGGAACTGGCTTGCAGTTAGAGTATTTCCAACAAGAAGGCTGCGCCATAGCTCAAGCGGTTAGTCGCTGGCTTCCCACTGCGGCAGCCCGGTTTCGATCCCAGGTCTGGTCAAGTGGGATTTGTGGTGGACAAAGTGGTGCTGCAGCAGGTTTTCTCCAAGTACTTCAGTTTCCCCTGCCAATCTTCATTCCACCAATTGCTCCACAGTCACCCTCACCTATCATCTGGGGCTGGTACAATAGGTCAGAAATGGCTGTAGTGCAAGGGACTTAGTCCCACCCCACTAGCAATAAAAAATAATGTTCAACAAGAGGAGGGGGACCAGCAGTAGTGGTGTGGTCATTGTAGTAGTAGTAGTAGTAGCAGCAGCAACTAACAGCAACAATATCAATGATAACATTGCAGGGAGGTTACTGGCCCCCTTGCAGTATATATCTATCAGAATACAACATAGGGCCTATAATCTGATGCTGCAAGCAGGCCTGTAATCTTAATTCTATTGTTATCAGTGAAGTTGACTGAGCAGAAGGAGGCAACCTATGGCGTGAACATGTGCACTATCATTTTTTCTACTCTGTCAGCTGCACTGATAACATTGTAAGGATAAGGTTACCGGACCCCTTGCAATATTTATTTACAGCACACAACCCATGATTTATCCATATCTCACAGATACTGCAAGCAGACCATTGACCTTCAGTGTTTGACATTATCACTGCAGCGGACTGAATGAACAGATGTAACCACCAAATAATCTCACTGTACTACTGCACTGCACCCCTGCTGCTGCAACACCACAACGTAATATAGTTAATTCTGAACTCACCCAGGTTTCCAATCCAGCATTTTGCAGCCTGAAAATCTGGTGTATGTATAACAAACTCTTGAGTGGAAGGATCATATGTTGCAGTTGTCCTCATTCGCTTTGTATTACTGCCATGACCCACCTCAGTCAAAGCTATGCAACTTAAAATCTGCAATTACGACACAGCTTTCATCAATAACATATGCTTTATCCAGGGACATTCATAATAATAACACAGAATGTTAATACAGCACAACAATAACATTTTTATACCAGCAACCCAAATGTTATAATTTATGAGACCATAACAAGATCTAGGGCTTTCAGGGCAGTGATAATTCTTCTGGGTTGACACCATGCAGTCTTGTAGGTGGATACCAACATTTTGGAGGAACACGCAGAAGCAGGTTCTGCCACTACGTTGGTAACCACCTACAGAACAATGCAATGCCACAACCCAGGCGACAATGTGTATTATGTAAACGTGTCCAATCGCCTAAAACTGTAAAGTAATGCTCCGGTATAGTCTTCCTTTCAGCCATCTTCTTGTTCAGCACATGAAACCAACAGCAGTAATGGGTTTTGCCATTTGCTAGACCATACAGTGCTCCTTTTTTCATTTCTTCTATCAACAGAGGGTGCTGAAGAATTAGAAATATAATTTTGAAGTTGCATATCTATCCTTTGCAAAACGGTTGCATACAGAAAATATGTTATTGAAATATTATTTGCTGATTAACCATACCAAAGAGCAGTATACTAAGTTTAGAATTTAGGGTTCACCACAGAAAGGCTGAGCTGCAGTTTTATAGAACTATGGGAAACATGTAACAAACAAAGTAAACAGCTACAAATAACTGCATTCACACTATCTTTATACCGTGGCTTCTCATATGGATCGTCCATTCAAATGATAATAAAACAAGTTTGAAAATCCTGTTTTGAGCTAGAGCCTTTCTGTGGAAAATCATACAATTACACTTGCAAGGTTCTAAACTTTACCTCTCCACGCCAAGCAGCCTTATACAGAGGTAAATGGCGTTCTGTCCCAAGACTCAGAATGGCATTTGCAAACAAGGAAACACCCAAAGCGAACTTGATGGACACATTAAGATTCAGCACTGCCATTGCTTCATTGAGATTCATCATGGTACGAGTCTTAAAGAATAAAACACCAATTAGACACAAATGCATGACCACATAAAACACAATATAGGAACATATCAATTGTCTAAAATAGTAAAAAAATAAACTAAACAAAAAAAAACACATTAGCCTCTGGTCTGAAGTGATGATGTTAATTTATTGGCAGAAAACATACATATCAATATAATAACAGAAGCTCTATTTGACATGAATAAGGTCGCTGGCCTAGAAGTAAACACACAGAAAAGTAGGTATAAGTCCATGTCTTATTACCAGAACACAAGAGAAAATTATAGACGTAGCTACTAAATTCTATATTATTCTCTAGGGCTCAAGTTTCAGCATGCATAAAGTAGGATGTATTTTCCCCACAAAAATAGTATGAAAATTCAAAATGGGAAAAATAATTTCAGCTTTCTATGACAGGGTAAAAAGATTTCTTAATGTACTTGTATAGTTTATCTCAATCGGATAGGGAAAATAAATGTTCCAGTAATCACTCACAACAAGATTAAACTAACAGAAACAAGAATTAAAAGAAGGTGAAGAAAGGGCTGGAGGGATCATAGACCTATTTTTATGAAGCATAAGAGGACAAATGCAAAGTAGGTAGGATTTTATTTTACATGGTTACTAAAGTTAAAACTGCCTCCAAAGGTACAGAACTTGCAAACACAAATATACTCGTATAAAAGACAACATTCATTTCTAACTTTCACAATGTTACAATGTGACAAAATTGCTCTCTGAATTCTGTCATGGCAAACATAACATGATCACCTATCAATATTCATTTGTTCACAGCTACTACTTATAAATAAAGAGAAAAAAGAGAAAGGCAGAAATGCAAACAGCAATCCTAGCTGGTTAAAATGGTATTATAACCTACTTATGTACTTAGGCTGACACTACAGGGGTTACTGTATTTGTCAGACTACAAAATGCAACTGACTACATAAGATGCAGATGCATCTTTATTGCTTATATTTTGAAATACCATCAACACTTCCGTTTCAGAATTCCTTACTGTAATCTAAACTCTGCAGTACATAAAAAAATCTCTTCTGCTTTGAATCCATTGCATTAAAACATAACACAGACCAGGGATACACAACTGCGATACAGGTTATAAAATGGATATTTGGAAAATATTTCCAAATTGAAGTACATGTATTTCCAAAAAGAGTTATTTACAATTCTGTACACTTCAATTGCTACCATCAATTACTGCTTACAAATATCTACACTGCTGGTACAAACCTTCAGTTACAAAGCTATTCACACAGCACAGAGATGAAAGTAAGTTTTCATCACACCAGAAAATATTTCAAACAAATATTATAGTTACAGTTCCTAATAAAGTATATTTTCATTTATGAGTACTTTCTGAGAAAAATTAAGTTCAACAAAGTCCGCCTGTCAACTTCTGGTGTAAAACTCCAGTACTAAATATAAGAAAATTTCATTCTGTAGTTTTGTATGTGAGAATGGAGATCAATATATCAATGGATATAATTTCTTTTTATTATTCATTCATTTTATGCTCTCTGTGTATGTATGTATGCAAGAGCTTACTAATCAAAGTTACATTATGTCTATGAAGTCCTCAAAATTTTCTACTAGTATTCTGATATATAATTAAAAGTTATTGCAACAGATGACTTTAAATACCTTCTTCTTATAATTATTGTTTGCTATACCATCTGTATAAAATTTGTACTGTATATACTTGACTAGCTGGAGCATGGCAAGACGCTTCTGTTCATCGACATTGTAGCTTGTATCACCAGTGTGAAACAGAATGTCAGATTCCAGAGTTCTCCACACCTTCAACTGAAAGCCCAAATATTCATTAAATGTATAGTTATGAACAATTAATATATTCAGGTCAGGAATGTAACATTAGAGGCAACACCATCATCCCTGGTGGCATAAAATTTATAAGTGTATGTAACCCAAAATAAAATATAAAGTAGGAGCACTGAATACATTGGATTTTAATGGTGAAAAAATGTACATCACTGGAGCTTTCATTGTGTCACTATCGTATGTTTAACTGCAATGAGTCTCTTTGATGCAGAAAATGTATTTATTGTTAAACATGATGCCTGTTCATACAAAAATCGGCAACAAATTTGATGACATGTAAAAATGATACAATATTACTTTGAAGAGTATTTTAACAACCAACCTGCAACAAAGAGCACTATACGAGTGTTTCTTAACAACAGTTTCAGTATTAAGAATATTGTGATTGGTATTGATGTTAGTGGAAGAATTCAGGAAGATTTCAAACGCAGCATTAAAATACCAAGCTTGAGGTTTCTGTGCACAGAAATATACACTGGGGCCGGATTTATTTCTGAAAAAACGAATACCAAAATAAAAAAAAAATTTCACTGCCATCAAGACGTACTACAGGTACTAGTATAGCAAAAGTGTTACTGTGCCATTCTAATATACAACCAAAAACCAAATGTCACTGGCATCTCTAAGGAAAGCAGACATTATGTACTAACTGAGAATATGGAATAGTTCTGTAAGCCAGTTTTGGTCTATTCAAGCGTTATACAGAACTGTTCCATAAGCCAAAGCCCACATGCTAAAAAAATCTTGGAAGGAACTGAATCTCCAAAGGTAAAGGACAGAGAGTGAAGTGCCTAACTTCTGTCACCCAGATTTAAATCTGCTAATACTTCTGTGATGGTGGCTGGATTTAAATTTGATGGCAATGGGATTTATACCATGAAAAATTAAATACTAGGGCTTCTGGGACCAGCTTAAGCAGCTCATGCAATGACAAAATTGTGCAATACATGATGATATAGGTCAAAAGAATTTTTCAGTCCTCAAAAATTCAGCATCACATTGTGAATAAATTGGAATGAACAAAGCAGCCATACAGTGACTTCTCCCCAAACAGTGAGCACAATGTCCATTATTTATAGGCACCAGACATGATACAAAGACAGGCATTTTATGGTCACACACTTGCAAACATCTACCAAAACAGTTTTTTTTTACTTAATACCTGGTATTCTGATGAATGATTCATCATGCTGTATACATTTTTAAACAAGAAAGATGGCTCCTAAAAATACCTTACATACATATATGTTGATCAGTTTCTCAATTATGTTTTTAATTGAAGATCTGCTTACATTTTTCAATTAAATTTAAAGAACACACAGATATAGAAGAAAATGCAAAAGCAGGAATAAAAGAAGACAGTGGAAAGGTACTGCACATACTTTATCATATACAACTGACACTGATAATACTAACTTGGAAATGAAATACCGCTGTTTAGTAAATGACTGCTGGCTACTGATCATACAAGCCAGGATATGTATGCATTATATGTATGCACTTGGTTCTGCAGTGCATGTACCAGCATTTTCATGAAGATACAATTTATACAGTTTTACTTAAGGCAATGGATTCGATACATACCGAAATTTAACCCAAATCGTTACAGATGTTTTTCATAAAATTGTCAATTTACTTTCTGGGGCCCATCTGAAGGGCCCCATTTTAGAACAAGAATTTTTATTTTAGAACAAGAATGTTTATATTCATTGGGCACCAACCTCTGATGGAAAACTTTCAAATATGAATATCAATATTGGTCCAACCATTCAGGCACTAATGAGAGGCAGACACATACAGAAAAACGACATTCCAAAACAACTTTTTATACTGAGGGAGGCTGAAAAGTGTATAGCTTTCAAAATCTCAAAACTGAATTTTCACCACAACGGTTCCTAAAAAAAAAANGGCCATGGTGCAGCTGGAAGGATTAGGTCAACTGAAAAAAATCCAATGATCTCATTTGGACTTGAACCCGCAGTCTTCTGGCTTGTAGCATAGCTCCTCAACCAACTATGCTACTGCAATGGTTTCTCATATATATTATAATTTCATATTCATGGGAAACATGTAAGTCCATCAAAATCTCGACATCAATATTTTTCATCAGTATACTCCATTGTATATATAGTTGTGGTGGTGAAAAATCAAGTGGGTGGACGATATTAAAATGGATCTCAGAGAGATAGAGAGAGGATGGGATGGTATGGATTGGATTGATCTGGCTCAGGATATGGACCACTGGAGGGCTCTTGTGAGCATGGAAATGAACCTTTGGGTGCCATAAAATGCTAGGAAGTTCTTGAGTAGCTGCACAATTTGCAGCTTCTCAAGAAGGGCTCAGCTCCATGAGTGAGTGACATGTGAGAGAGCAAACATGACAGGCACAGAGTTCAAGTTGTTATGACAATGACTGTTAACTCTTATTTCTGAGATTGGTGGAAACAGTCATGATCATACTGAGAACACTCTGAATACTAAACTTGGATATTCTGCTGATTACAATACAAGCTTAATACTGAAAAGGTTCTGCACTGGATCCTGTCCATTTCCACTAATTAAAAGTAAATAAAGAAACAAAAATAAAAATGACCATGATCAATCCAGTAATTAGTATGCCATCAAGTAAAGATCAAAGCAGACACTCAAAATGTGAGTGCTAAGTATACCTCTGACGATGAGGAGAATGTCCAGCATAACTATACATAATCTTCCAATGTAAACTAACTTGAAATCTGATTTTGCATATGTGTAAATAAGTGGACCTCAGAGAGTGAAGATATGAATAATCCTAGTAAATGTTATTTCTCAGTTGAGTAGCCCATTGCTAGACATGAAAAATGCCAGCTGGCAGCTATTTCAGAGATGAGTCATGCTAATTTAAATGTGTGTATATGAACATCTGCTTCAGAAAGACTGCCACATGTTATGTGTCTCCCACACTATTCACATTCACTGCTGTTAACAGGGAACTGTAAACACCAATAAATTACATTAATTACAAGTGATGTGGACACACTGACGTCAACTGGACTGAACTAGTCAGAAACTGGGTCAAAGTGCTGGCTTCTGTGACAAACTTTCTGGGGTTCCATAACAATGTGGAATCTCTTGATGAACCAAAAAGAGCTTTACAACTTTGAAAGTTTATATAAATTTATACAGAGGATATACATAACGTTTTGAACTGTCATAATGTAGCAAAGCACACCGAGTTTTACCTCGGATAGTTATGGTCCAATGTGACTACCATTGGTAATGCGACAGACGTCTCACCTGTAGTATGTCTCTTGCCACACGCTACATTGCATCTCTGGTGTCACTTCTGCAACTGAGGCAGTAATTCGAGTTCGGAGCTCAATGACATTTGACGCAAATGATCTTTAACGAATCCCCATAAGAAAAAATCCAGGGGAGTAAGAGCCGGGGAACGAGGTGGCCATGCTATCAGCGCCACTCTACTAATCCATCGACCTGGGAAACGGATGTTGAGGTACTCGCACACTTCTCCAAGGTAATGAGAGGGTGTGCCATCTTGCATCCTTCTTGGTCATCTTCATCTAACTGCGGAATGAGGAACTCTTGGAGCATGTCCAGACATACAATACCAGTAATGGTTGTCTCCATGAAGAAGGGCCCATACACTCTTTCTTTGCTGAGGGTGCAAAACATGTTCACCTTTGGACTATCATGAACATGTTCCAGGGAGACACGTGGATTTTCGCTGCCCCAGATCCTGCAGTCGTGGGTATTGACCTTACCACTGACATGAAATGTGCTCTCATCACTGAAAATTATGGAGTCCAGAAACTTCTCATCGTCTTGTATCCGATGAAACATTTGCATACAGAATTCCTTATGAACCACCTTATCTGCATCCGTAAGGTGTTGAATGACGGATAGTTTGTACGCTTTTAAGTGTATACATTTTCGTAACACTCACCACACAGTAACATTTGGAATACCAGTTTCCCAAGACGCACATTGTGTTGACTTTCGTGGACTTCAAATGAAGCTCTCCCTAAGCTGTTCCACTGCAGCTTCAGAAACATGTGGCCGACCGGGTGGCTTGGCATGGTGCACAGAACATCCAGTCTGAACAAAATTCTTGTGCCAGGAGTAAATTGTAGGCCTACTGGGAGGTTCCTTGAGATACTGAGTGCGAAATTTCCTTTGAACTTGTGTAGCAGACTTCGTTTCTTCGAACCAAAACACACAACGAGCACGCTCTGCACCTGTGAAAGCAGCCATCTTGATTTCAACTGCGGGAGTGCTTGCAATGGTGGTATTGGGTACTACAGTACCACGTGCATGAAACTTGGTGTGTTTTGCTACGTTATGACAGTTCAAAATGTTGTGTATGTCCTCTGTATAAATTTATATAAGCGTTCAAAGTTGTAAAGCTCTTTTTGAAACATCCTGTATAAGGCAGTAAATGAACTGTAATGACACTGTCATGTACTACATTCAATTTCACCAGACTATCTATCTAACATAACAACAAATCAAATTACCTTTAGGAATCCCAAGAGAACCAACTGGGAGTCGTACAAGGACGACCTAAAGGTGAAGCTGGAGATTATTTCGCGAAGTATATATATGAAAAGGGACACATATTGACCAGTTGCAACAAGCCATCATGTTGTCCTATTATCAAAATTGTCCAGCCAAGACCACTCGCGCACCAAGGCCGGTACCTCGGTGGAATAAAAAGCTGAGTGGGCTGAGAGTCAAAACAAGAAAGCTACTTAATACAGTGAAAAGAACTGGTCAGTGGGATGCCTATATGGAGGTCATCACCTGTTACAACAAAGAAACAGGGAAAGCCAAACCATCCTCATGGACGAGGTGCTGCCAGGAGATCAATGATGTCTTCACTCAATGACAATGGGCATTACCCAGTAGGATATGTTGATGGCATAGCAATCCTTATGAATGGGAAATTTCTTCAGACTGTGTCAGAGGTCTTACAACCATCCCTGTGCATAGTCCAACAATGTTGCGAAAGAACAAATTTATCTATCAACCCAAACATGATGGCAATTATACCCTTTACTAGGAAGAGAAATATAAAGGGACTTAAGCAACCAATCCTCTCAGGCAAAATGATCCAGCTTTCCAGTGAAGTCAAGTAGGTGAGGGTGATTGTGGAGCAATTTGTGAAATGAAGATTGACAGGGGAAACCAAAGTACTCAGAGAAAACCTGTCCCAGGCCCACTTTGTCCACAACAAATCCCAACAAATTGTGAGTCTATTTCGTCACTTGGGCCAGTTCTTTATGGACCCAAGTGATTATTATGATGCCCCCATAAACAAAGTCCTACATTTCATCCAAAGTGTAGGACTGACAAAGGGTTCAACACCCCCAAAAAGGAAGCACAATAGGTCACTGAAGGTCACAGCGCAAAAACCAGAAAAGCCCACCCCTTATGCATTTATTCATTCATTCATAGGTTCAATGACTGAGTTTCACAGTAGCAGTGCTAAAATTAGTTTATGATTAGATACAGATCATTCATGATATTACTCTCACTCTCCGTGACCTGTAGTCCACAAGCGAACTATGCTGACTGAGTGACCGCTGCTTGTCGGTGAAGTTAGTGCCAACTTTAGAGGATAGAGGGTGTTACGTGGTCAGCGCGACGAATCCCCATTGCTGTTAATTTCGGTTTTATAGACTGCAGCCGCCATTTCCTTGAAATAGCTTCTCAATTATCCTCACGAGGCTGAGTGAACCCCATTCCAGACCCACTACTTCTCAGAAAATCTAGTAGCGCCGGGAATGAACATGGATCTCTGGATCTGTAGCCAGGAACTCTGACCACTAGACCACAGAGGCAATCATTCATGATATTATTAGATTTTAAATTTGGAAAAGGCTTGCTACCATTTGGCATGAAATCTTTTATCTTCCTACATCCTATCTAACAACAAATTTGTCACATCCTTTTCGAATACTTTCAAATGAAATGAAATCTGACACCATGTATACATGTTGATTGAAAGCAGCAAAAAACAGAAAACTGGTGCAGGTTTGTACCCATCCACTGGTTGACTTTTTGGCCATTTTTATACGTATGATAATCTAAACTGCAAGATGGAAATAAGGATGGTAAAGCATAAAAGCGTGTTTTCACCAGCATTTCACAAACAAAGGTAAAATTTGCGCTGTATAAGACTAACTTTTCCCTGGAAAATACTGCCTAAAATTTGCAACTACCTTATAATGGAGAGGTACAAGACCGTTTTCCTTAAAAGAATTCCCCTCAAAATCAGTGTGTGCCTTACAGTCTATAAAATACGGTAAACTATTCAATTTACAAAATCATAAATCACAGTGCAAACAGGCTAAGTGACAGCGGTTGCAACATCCATGCCAAATGAATGAAAATAACCAACATAATAAGTAAAACTAACAGAACTTTCAGGAATAAAAAAGGAAACACCTGGAAGGCAGTATTAATAAAAAAAACAGTAAAAACAAAATCAACATTTGCATGAGGAACTAAGGAGAACCATTATAAACATGTATGACAACAGTTGCTGAGATTCAAACCAGGCACCTCGCAAATACATGCACTACTGCTTGAGCAAACTTGCTCAATGCTATACGAAGACAAATGCAAAAGGGATGCTAAGAAAACACGGGAAACAAACAGCCTTCACACTGAAACTACTGTGATTGTTGGTTGCTAGTCTGTTCAACAAAATGAATGATATACAAATATGCGGAACTGTATAACAGCAAATTAATAAGCCAGTCTTTGAAACAATTCCTGCAGTTTGATTTCTGCTAATACAACTCCATTTTTTAAAGTACGAAACCTGGAAGACTTCTGGGACAGCTCTGAAGTGTTATTTTCAGAGCATAATCTGTATACATGCAACATGTTTGAATGTAGAGCAGTGGCTGGGAAATGAAAACATGGCCTCATTTAACTCTCTTTGAAAGAGCTGTCTACTTTGTGCTGGTTTCTTGCTTACTTTTCTTTTCCACTCTGAAGATGGAAGCAATATGTTCCTCTGAAAAGCTGGTTCACTTTTACTAGACTAAGTGACCTTATATTCCACAAGAATAAAATAGAATAATACAAATTTATTCTTATAAATGTTAGCTTATAAAAGTTCATCACAGAAACTTCCACAAAACGTTCAACAGAATAGAGACTTTAAGAGAGAAACAGAAACCCATCCATAAAATGTGAAAAAGGGAAGAAAAGCTCATTTTAGGGACTACCACAGGCACAAAAACACACAAATATGATTAGGTAAAAACAGCAATATCTTCTGGGATATCACATTGCACAGTCAGATCTCATAAGATTGGATAACAGCCAATAGAAGCGAAAGATTGTGCAGCAAAAAGCATCTTCATCATGTCATGCCATCATCTGAGACTGAAATTGATATGAGTTCTTGGAACAGAACATGCTTTGTGGGCAAATATGGGCAGCACATGCCCTTGCAAGGACACATTGGAGGGACGAGAGTGGGGAGTGGAAGGGGAAAGAAAGAGCTGTTCTTATCAGTAAGGTGCTAACTAAGGAAATACGTATCATACTGTACTTACTTTAAGTTTCAGAATTTCTGGTTTATCAAAAACTAACTTCAATTTCTTCCAGTCAAAGGAAGCTTGCTTTCTATAAACATTTAGGGGACCTTCTGGTAAATTTGGAATGAAGTCTGTATCTTCCTCCATTGCTGTTGCCTGGCGTGGATAACACTGGAAGATAACACCACATGAAACATAAAACAGATAGTTCTGGAGAGCAGATGTTGACTGACATGTGCTATGGAGATGGGAGGTGGGGGGAGGCTGAGGGGATCGAGTCCGCATGCGGCATAACCTCATTAGAGCCTTTTGATTTTAAGACTTAATTACCTTAGTTTAACTTCTTCTTCTGCCCTTCTCTCATTGCACTCACACCTGTTCTAACTTTAAAGCCATCTTTGGCCTTGCCTCCCTGTATTTAGATACTCATTTGGTTTGTGAGAAAGTTTTGGCAGGCTGTTTGTTGCTCTCCTCTGCGTAAGGTGGGTCAAATAATGGTTTTTCTCTGCAGCAATCTATTTTTCCAATTAGCAAATAACATACGAAGTACCTTCAATATATATTCATTTTTAATTCTGTTTAACCTGATACATCCATTGCCATACATTAAAAAGCTTCACAGTTCAAAGTTAGTTTAAAACCATCACAACAGTCTCACTAGATTACACAAGTTCGTACTTATGTTTTGTGGCATGTAGACCTGTTGCTAGGCAACGACTGCAAAATAACTATACAACGGCCGTTACTAGGCAGCAGCCTATAAAAACCAACAGAAAAAAATATGTTTTCTGTGTGGTCCATGCTGAGGTGTTATAAACAGGCCAAGTTAGGAATTACAGTTAGTTAGATAACCACTGCGGTTCAGCTGTTGTGGGGTGCTGATGTGAGAAGCTGGTATCTGAGGCCAGGGACAGTTCTGGAACCCAGGGGAAGGGGAATGCCTGCCACTGGAAGCAGCTACCAAGCAATGGCCAGTGAAGACTGTAACAGACTGAGAAAACCCAGCGTGTTCTGTAGTAATTTGTGAAGCATGTTGCACATTGAGAGCACAATCCTTACTTATAGTTAGAAGTTGTAAGAGTTCAATAAATCCGATTAACAATCCAAACCCCGTCTATAGTCACTAAAACCACATGAGAGTACAATTGGATGACCCAAGAAACTGTAAAATTTACTGTCGTGCACTAATGCATGGTTTCAGGAGTCCTCACACAATTAATATTTAGTATTATCAGTAACACTGTCAATATTTCAATCACTAGTACTTGGTCATTTTACTGCTCATAGAGTGAACATTCAGAACAGACAATAAGAGGAATGTATGTTGCAGTTATATTAGGATCAAGATTTGAAAAGGGGGGAAATCAAAACAGTGGGTGAAAGACTGGATTACAAAACAGGGAAGATATACCCAGCTAAACCTTTTGAAGGAAATACAGATACCCAACACCAGTGATTTTCATAACTATTTTTGAATGAGTCACGACATCTATCATCAATTATTAGTATTAATGTTTCCAAAGATATCTAAACAAGATACCAATACAAGAAGCTCTTTCTGCAAAAGAAAGCCTGGCAGCTACTCTTAGGTTATTAGCTACCAGAGGAAAGTTTGAATATTTCAGAATTTTCAGAAACCACATCTCCAACAGTAAGTGAAATTGTAAGGGAGATTTGTGAAGAAACTATCTGTAAATTAAGGGGATTATAAAGGCATAACAAACATTTTTTTAATTGAACACCCACATTATGTTAATACCTTCTGTAATACACATAAAACATTTCTAAATAAGAACAGCCATAAAGAAACTGTGTTACAAGTTTTGATTGAATCTAGCTCATAACACAATATTTTAAAAATAGTCACCCAATACGGGCCAAGAACTGCTTCCTGGTTTAGAAGATATGGCAGACTACAGAACTGCATAGAAGCAGAACTACTATGCAGTGTGTTCATTTAGTCAATTTCACATTCTTGTCAAGTGTGCCTAATTCTGCTGTAAAAAAAGTATATCATTAACTGCCTTCTCAGCATACAATTCTTGGTCTCTTGGCAAACAATTTAATTTTGAAGTCCAAACCTTTGCTATGGGAGCTGGGATAGTGTAGTCGGTATAGCAACTGGCTAGGTGCTGAACGAACGTGGGGTAGGGGTTTGAGCCCCAGTAGGGTCAAGAATTTTCTCTTCTTAATAGACCGGCTCTGGGGTCCATCCAACCTTCATCCAATGAGTACCAGGGGTTCTTTCCCCGGGCGTAAAGCTATCACTCACCTCCAACTAGTGCTGCGGTCAAGAAAATGTGGATCTATACATCCACTCCCCCATAACTTCATGGCATAGTGCTTAATTAGTTATGCACAGGGACAACTTTACCTTTCACCCTTTGCTTTGATATCACTAACAACTTCCTGTTGTCTGAAGTATCAGCTACAAGCACCAGAGAGTAATCAGTTATGCATCTTAGTTTCTGCTTTCTTTTATTTTACTTTTATTATGGATGCCTCAAGGGAATTCTGCAACCACTGGAGAAGTTTCCCATCTATTTTATTCTTCAGTATCATCATGACATGCTGCATTTCTTAAAATATTTTGGCATGTAGACCCATTGCCAGGTGGCACCATGAGATATGCGACTGTATGGTGGCCACTGCTAGGCAGCAGCAAACAAACAACAGAGGAATGGTGTTTTCTGCATGGTCCACTAAGCAACAATTGAAGAGTAACAGAGGAACAGTGTTTTCTGTGCCGACAGTGCCAAGACGTTATAAGCAGGACACTTAGTGAGAGTTATCTAGTGGAGTGAGCTGCTGCTGTTAGAAGTTGGCAGCCAAGGTATGGAGACAGTCCAGGCACCCAGAGGAAGCGGAATGTCTACTGTTGGGAGCCATTACCAGAAAGCTGATGAAGACAGCTGAAAAAACTGTACTGAACTGTAGAGTGTGAATTAGCAACAGTGCTACAGTAACTTGTAGTTACAAGATGTGTGTATTGCAATAAATCCAATTACCAATCCAAACCCAGTCTATAGTCACACTTCATAAAATCATGACAATATAAGTTCAAATTATCAATATTGTCAAATAGTCTGCCAAGTAATATTATGAAAATTTTGAAACAACACTGTATTTTTTAAATTTACCTTTAAAAAGCAACACAAATTGAAGACTGCTGTCTGTAATTGTGATTAACAGGAGTTCCACATGTTCTTCACTTGCCTTGGAGCTAATGATGGGAAATGAGCAAACTCCGGCTCCATATACTACAATTGGTATAGTAACACTGGGTGCCAATCGTGAATTCATATTGGAAGATGCTGGGGCCAACTTTTGTGAATCTGACATTAGAGTGCTGCATCACAAGAATGTCTGAAGATATTTCAATTGAATAACTTAAATATTCTGAAGAGAGAGGACAGTCTCCACATGTTTTTGTGTGTAATGAAGCATTTGCTTTGCACACCATTGTAATGAAACGCTACAGGAAACATGACTTTGTGGAAGTCTGTCAAATTTAAAACCACAGCCTGATCTGAGCCTGACATGAAGTGGAAAATGCATCTGACATACTTTCCACAAGATCTCGAGTATTGCAAAGATCTATCCATCTGGGACCACAAAAAGCAAGCATGACAGCATCGGTTTGTTGTTATTTACACAATATCTTACTTACTAAACCCCGTAAGTCATACTGTGAAATTGTTCAATTAAACAGAGGAGCACGCGGTAGTGTAGTGGTTGAGGCACTACGCTACAAGCCGGAAGGTTGCGGGTTCAAGTCCCAATGAGGTCATTGGATTTTTTTCAATTGACCTAATCCTTCCAGCCACACTATGGCCCTGGGGTTGACTCAGCCTCTAACAGAAATGAGTACCAGGAATTAATTAAATAATTTTCCTGGGGAGTAAAGTGCAGCCGGCGCGTAAGGCTGACAACCTTACTGCCATTTTTGAGCCAACTGTCTAGATAATGTGGGACCCTCAACGTCTCACAACCCTATGGGCCTCCATGGCCTGTTACAGGGATAGCTTTACTTTACTTACTGCGGCAGATAAACTGATTACAGGAACTGCAGGACCCATAATTTATTGCCCTCTCTAAAGAAAGGTACATTTCAAAAGCCTCAAGATGATGTAAAACATATATACAACAGGTGTTATTCCAGTGACAGGCATTTTCAATGGCAAATTGACTGTTTGCCATGAGCATGCACGTATGATCGTACAGCTGTGTAGTAGAAGACATTAAATAAAGTTGAAAACAATTACTGTAATCCTAAAAAAAATAAGCAATGAAAAGACTTTACTCACATGGTTCTGTTTCTCAGCGTAAGACATACTCCGCCTTGGTTTCTCTTGGCTTTGAAAAATTCAGTTATTCGAATATCCAAGAACGCTTCTCATAATTATTGTCTGTATGAGCTCTCGAATGCCTATACTTGATTTTTTAACCAATTCCTATAATCAGATCAAAGAGTACTGACTTTCATTTTTGTCATCTGCTAATGCACCTGCTATTTCTAGTACATAAGAGCAATTTCTCATATGCTAGAGTCTTCTTCGGTTTGTTCTATCTAGTAAATTCCAATGTAAATTTATAAAAACAGTGATAACTCAAAGAAGTCCTGGCCATTGGCAACGCAGTACTGAAGGAATACTGTTAATACCTATTTTACACAGTCAATAGTACTGACAGACTCTCTTTGGTACTGAATATATTTGCGGACACTTCATCATTCCATCAATAATTAATCAGGCAATCAGTATTGCTAATAGTATTCTATACTGGTAGCCAGTCACGGTAGCCTAACAGTCCAAGGCATGTACTGTCTTCGCTCACTTGGAAACCAGGATCGTGGGTTCAAATCCCACTCAGGGCATGGATGTTTAGTTTGTGTGTGTGCGTTTTTCTGCGTCTGTGTACAGGTAGAGGCCTTGCGACGAGCTGATCACCCACCCAAGGAGTCCTACCGAATGTGTAAGATCTAGAAAAACCAAAGTGAACGGAGAAGTTCATGGAGGTAGGCCTAGGCCCACTGGAGCTGTAGTGTCAAGGGAAGAAAAAATTCTGTAGTGGTAATAATAATGTTCCTGTGATGGCTACTTTCATCAAATTCTTATTCTCAAACTTGAATTCCCTCGTGAAGAATTCCAAGCCTGAAGAAATTGAACATCTTCTCTTCAGCTGTTGGTAAACCCCATAAATTCATCACTTCTGAGAAAATTCAGAGTGCAAAATAAACTCTCACGTCAGACTGACAGTTGTAGACTTGTTGTTATGATCAAACAGTACTGGCTGTGAGAAACTGAAATGTAATTTTTCTTTTTCTAATTTTCTTCCTTGAATAAAACCTTGTTCAAAAAAAGTCACAGTTGTACATAATAATAATTGTGTTACCTGTTAACATATAACTACCGACACTCATTCTTCCAGAAGTGTACTGACAATTGTAACTGTATTTAAAAATGTTACAACACATTTAGAAACAGACTGATGTTAATTGTGAATTATGTATTTGCTTCTTTCCAAACTGCATCCCACATACAAGGTTTGACTTTCTGGACATTATCCATTGTCCTAATTTTTATTTAAAATTACGTTTTACAGATGGGGCCCTATCCCTGACATCATGAAAAAGCCAAATCAATTTATCTAGTCCCTACCTCCAGAAAATGTCCAAAAAAGTTGATCACTGTATTAATATACCATCATTACAAACTTTTATATCTTACTTGCGTTCCACATATTTATGAGGTTTATGACAGAGGTTCTGCACATTTCATTAGAATCACAAGCCTGAGATTTTATATTCAAATTTTAAATTCATGCTGATCACAGTGCCCACATGGCTTATGGTTTGCTTTAACACTAGAACTGAAGGTTCAAATCCTATTCTGGACATGGATATATGTCTGCGTAGGTACAGGACTTGTGATGTGCCAGTCTCCCATCCAAGAAGTCCTAAATGGTACAAGCCAAAGGGCCTAATCTATGAAAACTGAAAAAGTGTTAAATCCAAATACTGTTTCTAACTTCTGAAATCATCTGTAACTAGGAAATGTATTTCATACACTGTCTACTCACTAACATAGTACGTTAAAGACAACACACACTGACTCACATACAGCCTATCATTTACAGATCACTCACGTAACAGACTAAACTCTGCTACACTAGTTTTGTTCTTTAACAAGCTTCTGGAGTCAAATCTAAAGCTTTCACAGTGGCTAAAGTTCACAAAATCTTCTCAGTATACCAGGTGTATCATATAGTTAAAAATTTACCAGACCCTGATGATGGGAGCAGAGATGGTCCCTGAAACATCAGTAATTTTAACCAACTGACACAGCCAATAGTTTAAGTAGATATAATCAAGTGCTGGGGTGTACTGCCTGATGTTCAGTTCTGTGGTATAGTTGGCTACTTTAATTGAGTCCGGTATGTGTAATTACAGAGTTGGGTAATGATATTGTGCTGGCTAGTTAGGTTTATCATATACATCAGGGACAGTCACAGATGAGTGACATGAGAAACTGAAATACTTAAGAGGAACACCTGCTCCAGTACCACTTTCTACCATGAATCCCACATAAACTGTCCTGAGACTGAACCTGGGTCTCCATAATGAGAAGCTGGCATTTTACAGCATGAATTATCATATAGAAGGGCTGAAGGTATACCAAATGGTAATAATATGCATAGTTTAACATATTAATTTTCCTATCATTTAATAATTCATGAAAACAGACCTTTTCTATGGTTCTTGTGCGTTTTGGTGTGTGTACTGTGGCAGTTGAGGGTGGCAGTGGTAGAGGATCATACAGTATTTTTTAAGTACACAATGCAGACACAAAACCAGAGGAACATAATGGCATGTTCTCACACAAGAATTGCAAAAACCATAAGAAATGGATTCATTCAGCCTTACTTATCATATTCTCAAACAAGAGTTATCACTTAAGTATGAGTCAACTAATTTCACTCACATATATATATATATATATATACAAATGTTACCAGTGTGTAAGATTTTTAGACAGTCAACAAAGTATTCATAATTTAAATGAAATGTCCAATGTAAAGGGTTTCCTGTTTTCTTATATGTAAAAAAGTAAAATATTCTGACTGTTTTGCTTTAATTTGCATGCACTTTCTTTTTCAGTTATTAAAATAAAAATAAGATCTTGTTTTACTCTTGCCTACTGCTGAAATAAAACTAATACTGCACACATCTGCTTCTTTCACGGGATACAATCCCTCACGACCTACCACAATTGTCACCAATATTATTATACATTCATGTTACACATTAGGAATAAGAAATTAAATCCAGTATTCTTCTCAGAAATTTGATTACACCCCGTGGTGCTGAATATTTGTAGTACTGTCACTTAAGTAAGACCGCCATAAAACTGCGAATCACCTCTAATTTTATCTGACTGACAAGCAACACATCTTCTTATTTAAAGTCGGTCATGCTTTCAAAGCAACTTAATTTTCAACTTGGTCATATTTTGTACTTCAAAATTAATCAACACAAAAGGTCACCGTCCTAGTCTCTAAATGGTGAACACGAGGTAATTCATTATGAAACCGGTTCCTAGCCCGAATAAGTAGCGTCGCTGGTAATTCACTCACCTGAGTTCTCTATGATGTAGAATATCGCAGTTCATCAAATACCACCACCCTTTTCCTTTCACGTGGGCTGCGAAACTAAAAATTTACCTGTTGCCCGCGTTTAGTCAGCCGGCTCACTGATGCCGCGAACACTATGCACAACCCTTGGACACTACTGTCCAGTCGGTCTAATCTTTTCCTGGCGTCCCTCAATATGACACTATAGCGATGACCAGTCCGATCAATTAACGTTACTACCGTCTTTCCCGACCACAATATTGAAATGCTTCCCGGTTTTGACGTGACGAAGTTCAGCCGGTTCAACGTACAGCACACGTGCAACGGCCCAAGCCAATCCAAGCTTCTTCCCTCGATACATTTACGTCATCGATGCTTTTCATGCTTTTGTGGTCATTACCGACATGGCCACTGCGAGCGCTATTGCGTAGCTCTCGAGCTCCCGAGTCGATGGTGCAGGCCATACGAGAAGTGCCGGGAAGATCAAATCTCATACTTCCTTTCACTACAAACTGAGATTATTTTATATCACAAGTGGGGTAAAACTTTATTATGTATGTGTAGGTATTTCAGTAAAACAATAACATAGGCTCAATTTTTACAGAACATAAATTGCACATGCATTAAAAAAATTTTAAATGGTCAAGCTACTGTCAGATCATCGTCAATGAAAACAGGATGCATCAAGAGAAGGTGAAGATGGCTGTAGGGTAGGAGAGACTTTGTGAGAGAGGTTGCAGTGTAGGTATTACTGACGAGAGGGATTTATGAAATATACTGTTGAGATGGCCTCGGGTGCCGTTATATACATGCTACGTTTCATAAAGATAGGTCCAGGCATTCAAAGATTGTTAGGAAGGTATACCTATGAAGACAGAAAACTGATTTCATAAGCCTACTTGTAAGGTAAAAAAGGTAAAGTTGTCCCTGTGCTTAACTAATTACGAAGTGCGCCATGAAGGCGTATGGGGGAGTGGTTGTATAGATCCATATTTTCTTGACCTCGGCACTAGTTGGAGCTGAGTGGTCAGCTTCACACCCCGGCCGCTTTACCCCCGGGGAAAGAGCTCCCCTGTACTCCTTGGATAGTAGGCTGGGTGGGCCCCAGGGGCGGTCTGGAAGATATGGAGAAGAGAAAATTCTTGAACCTATAAGAACGCGAAATGTTAGCCCTCGGTGGTCCAGCTCGTAGCCAGTCGCTATACCGACTGCGCCAACCCGGCCCCAAGCCTACTTGTATCTTTTCAAAATAAGGAATGTAGGCAAAAATATTACTAAATCGACACAGAACAATTATAAAATGGCAACGCAAGTGTTTGTATGTGTCGCTTGCAATAAGTTTTGAAGGAAGACGCTGGTTATCTAGGGACTCGATACAAAAGTTAAATAATTTTAAAATTTCAAGGTAGTTGTCAATGGCAGGAAAAGCCAAAATTTCACTCCAGGCGACGAAGATTCCCCCGGTTAAGAACAGCTCAATTTTCTCAAAAATTTCGTCGTACTGAATAACACAAAATTCCCAGACACCATAGCGGAAACGGCCGTAAGTATCGCATTTCTTAAAATGGCAGTCAAATAAACAGTGCAGTGTCAATAAAACGCGTCTTCATCTGGTCACAGCTCTCGCAGCGTTGCTGTCGATTTCAGACTAAAAGTGTCAGAGCTTGCAGTTCACAGCATCCGTTACATCAATGCACAACTTGCTCAGGTGGTCATGGGCAGCTGAAATTAATTTTCATTTGAGAGAAAGTGGATGAGAGGGGTGGTAAATTGTTCCCACCTAAATTCTTGCTGCCCTAGAGGACCGCCTGTTCGTTTTTACTGGCAGGTCGGCCCTGAAAAAAATTGCGTAGGACACAACATTAGTTCGAAAGGAAACATCAATCATACCGCTCCTAACTGGCGCATTTTACTGCTCTGATCAATGGGTATTTGTAATGCTGTTGCTAAATGCAAAATGGAAATTATAACACCAAACTGATAATAGCATGCTGTAGTGGTAACAGTGTGTAAGTTATAATACGTTGGGCCGCGCCATAGCTTAAGCGGTTAGTCGCTGGCTTCCCACAAGACGGCCCGGGTTCAATCCCGGGTCTGGTCAAGTGGCGCTGGGGCAGGTTTTCTCCGAATACGTCGGTTTCCCCTGCCAATCTTCAATCCACCAATTGCTCCACAACCACCCTCATCTATCATCTGGGGCTGGTACAATAGGCCAGATTTGGCCGCAGTACAAGGGACTTAGTCCCACCCCACCCCCACACTACTATGTACATTCTACATCACTCACACTTACTCATGGAGATGAGGCCTTCTTAAGAAGCCGTCAATTGTGCAGCTACTGAAGAATTTCCCTGCATTTTATGGAACCCGAAGGTTCATTATCGTGTTCTCAAGACCCCTCCACTGGTCCCTATCCTGAGCCAGATCAATCCAACCCATATCATCTCATCCTATATCTCTGAGATCCATTTTAATACTGTCCACCCACTACACCTTGGTCTTCCCAGAGGTCTCTTTACTTCTGGCGTTCTCACCAGTATCCTATATGCATTCCTCTACTTCCCCATGCTACATGCTCCGCCTATCCCATCCTCCTTGACTTGATCATTCTAGTTATACTTAGAGAAAAGTACAAGTTATGAAGTTCCACATTATGCAGTTTTCTCCAACCTTCTTGTCCCTTCATCTCCCTTCGGTCCGAATATTACGTACATTTTCACAGGTTCATTAAACAAAGAAAAATGTCAGCTCTCGTCAATTTTGGGGCACCTGTTCGCAAACATATCTAGTAAAGAGATGCACGCAGAAAATACAGTAGAATGATACTTTATGACCTTGAAGACAGTAAACAGTTTGACATCCGCGCTCTGTTTAAACACGTGTATTTACATAGTGCTGCTCTCGTACGATAACTTCGGCAACTACATTACCGAGCGCCTACTGGTTACTAGTGTCACCTGCAGGAATTTTTATAAACTGTTGAATCTATAACCGTCAAAATATTTGCGGCAGCATTGAAGCCTGATAGCTCAGTCGGTATAGTAACTAAGAGTAGAGGCTGGAAGGCCGAGGAATCAGCGTTCCATTCCCGGCAGAGGCAAGAGAATTTATCTTCCCACAGCATCCAGACCGGCTCTCGGGCCCACTCAGCCTCCTGTCCAATAGGCACCGGTGACATTTTCACCGTGGGTAAAGCGGCTCATGCGTTAGACCGACCACTCACCTACACCTAGTTCCCAAGTTAACAATGCGTGAAGCTATGCCTTTATTCGCCCCTACGTTTTCATTGCGTGGTGTGTAATTAAGCACAGAGAGATCCTTATCTTTCATTATTCGTCAGCTCTGCATAGCTTACTGATTACCTACTCGAAAAGCTGATAAACCCACCTTGTGACAAACGAATGGAAGTGTACACCCCGAAAGGGAATGTTTGAAGTTTATTGAGTTTGTAAGATTTGAGGCTTTCACGGCGGTGACTATGAAGAAAGCAATCTTCTGGGATTTGGCACCGTGTATATGTGGTGTTAACCGACGTTTCGGAGGAACGGTCTCTTCGCTTGCAGATTTCTTATATTTTTTCTTCTACCCTGAAGATGGAGGCGATACGTTCCTCCGAAACGTCGGTTAACACCACATATACACGGTGCCAAGTCCCTAAAGACTGCTTTCTTCATGTTATTTATTCCTTGGCTGTACGGTTATTACAAAGAATTATTTGAGAATTCTCTAACTGCGTAAAACGACCGATCAATCGAGAGATCTATACTTGAAATTTCATTTAAAATACCCAATATGATACGTAGCTTAATACAGGGGAAAATCTTGAGACTATGACAAATGAATATCGTGATGTATCAAGGGGGAGGGGTGGGGGCAGTAGCGATGGTAATGTAGGCAAAGCCCCCTACAGAGAATAAAGCAGCTTCGACATAAGCTACTCTGTCGCGTTTAAGTTGCTCCTCCAGCATGTCTGGACAAGGATACTAGAAATACTCGTACTGCTTTCTTGACTACAAGCGGGAAATCCTTGTATCCTTGTATCCTTGTTCCTACATAAAAACTAATGCAACGGCGAAGTGAGAGCTGTGACATAAGCAATTTTTTGTTACCATAGCAACGAAATCTAGAGCGTTAACTAGTTGCCCGAAAATAAGCTATCTATTAGGCCACGAACGAGCGAGTAGTCTACTGTTTCAGTAAATCTATCTACTCTGTGAACATTAATGATATTTGTATGCAAATATGTGAAGTGTAGAAGAGAGAGCAGTGGAGACGGGTTGTAGAGGAGGCCAAGGCTCACCCAGGGCTGTAGCGCCGAGTGGTTGGTAGGTAAGTAGGTAGTGTACTAGTGTAAAGGAGAGAGTTTACGATGACTATTTGTGTTTGTTATTCGTAGGAGATGATGTTAAACGTCGGCCTCGGCTTATAATGCGATAACCTGTAGGACTGGAGAGTGATAATGGAGAAAGCAAGGGTAGTTAAGAGTACGAAAGCTTCTGTAACAAATGAAGAGACTTTTCGTTGAATTTTCAAAGGGTGTTACACTACTTACGGCCATGGGGATTCGTTGCGCTGACCACGTGACAACTCCATTCGCTAAAGCTGGCATTAACTTCGCCGAAAAGCGGCGGTCGGTCGGTCGGTCGGTATAGTTAGCTTGTAGACTACAGGCCACGGAGTTTGTTTTGATTTGTTTTGTTACACTAGTTATAAATAAATATAGAAGTACAACACCCGCAACCAAACAGGGAACACACAACACCAGACAAGATATACCCTGAGAATAAGAGGAACGACTCCCATAGTGGTGAAACTATGCGCGGTGTTAGAATTGGGACAGATAAGATAAATAATCTTAACAAGATTTAGTATATATATATTTATTATAATTGACGAACGTTTTTAAATACTTTTTAAATTTTACAATGACGTAATGGCAAGCAATGAAATAGATTGACGTAAATGGAGCACCTGATGATGGCACTATAGTGCCGAAACATGTCGTGAAGTAACAAGTAAAATTGAGTGCACTAAAAGACGGACACTGCTCACATATCATGGACAAATATAGAAGTATCTACATAAATAAAGCTGCAGGTGTACTCTATTTCCGCTCCTCTACGCCCTTTGATACAGAAACTATTGCTCAGCTGTACTCTCGTATGTGTTCTCCGAAGTTGTTTTCTTCACGTGTATCCTCTGTTAGTAGCTCCAGTAATGCAGGTGTCAAGTGGAAACAAATATAAGCATTATATGTATAAGTAAAGCTATCCCTGTAACAGGCCGTGGAGGCCCATAGGGTTGTGAGAGGTTGAGGCTCCCACATTTTCTAGACAATCGGCTCACAGATGGCGGTGAAGTTGTCACCCTTACCCGCCGG